AAATACTAAGGCTAGGACCCAACACAATATTCTACAACTCGGGAGAGGGATGCCGTAACCCTAATTGCAGAATATTTGAAGGTAAGTGAATGACGATTCACTAATTTCCACCATGAAAAACGAAAAAGAAATTTAAGTTTTAAATCTATGAAAACTCCTGGATCCTTTGAGATTCATTGAACTTTCAATGGCATGTTTAAATCTCGATATGCCCCTCTTGTTTGTGACTGGGATGCCGAGGATCACAAAGCGGGTGTGAATAACCATGCAAACTTACATGGTGCCCTCACATGTTACAGTCACCTATTCGATGTGCCGGTAAACCACACACGCTCCACCGAACTATGACAAACATTGAGTCACCCTTTGCTACCTTTGCATAGAACCATTTAGTGTGCCAGTTAACCACACACACTCCACTAACGTCTTCGCAAGGGCACAAAGTGTAATTTCATGGAATTGCATCAATTCACTTTTGCCTAAGTAACTAAGATTGGGAATTTGAAAGACATCTAGTTACTTTGTATTTCATTATACTTATAATGGAAGGTTTCGTTATATCCTACCCGTTCGGCTAACGACCCTCCACTAGTCAAGAGTGCGGTGGGTAAGAATGGATACCCATTCAATCGCCATTTTATAGGCAATTTCCTTAAACACCCCTTATAGACCAGCTTCATGAATGAGGCCTACTAACGGTAAGACTGACTTTTACTCATACATATATATAATGTTAGACTTTTAATGTTATATATAGTATAGGGTGCATTTTATACTTTTAAAATACTATGTGGTCAAATTTAACAATTATACTTTTAATTCAATTAAATTGCAAACCTAAACTTTTATGGATTTATTAAACTTCTTTTAATTATACACCTTAATTAATTAATAAAACCATAAGGGTGTAAATTGAACTTTTCAAAACAATACTAGGGTTTTAGAATTTAACACTCCTAATTAAACCTTTTTAATCAAGTTTTAAATTTCAAAACTTGAGGGCAAGTTTTGAAACATTTCAAAACAATTTAGTTTTAATCTATCTTAAAATTTCGAATTTATGACATTTAAATTAAAATTTTAAATATTAAAACTCTTGATTTAATAATTATCTTGAATTAGACTATTAATTTAATTATTAAATCATAAGGGATTATTTAAATAATGAGGATAATTACCATTTATACATTTAAGTTATCCTAATCCCTTAAATATCTATATAGATTTCGAAAATATGGATGGATAATGCAAGATCTTGAATTACCATATATAACAATTAGAGGATAATTACAAGATATGGGATAATCCAAATCCCTAAAAATTAGGATCTTATCTTGGGGAGGAGGCAACTTTCGAAAAACAAGGGATTATAACAAACCCTAGATTTTGAAATTTAAGGGTTTAAGGAAAGGATTTGAAGATCTTATTCACACTCTTGCAAATTAGGGTTTGCAAACCCTAATCTAAAAAAAAAAAAAAACTAGCCTCCTAGGGTTTATTGGCAATAAACCCTAATATATCAATTTCATACAATTGAAACCAAACCAATGGCTCTGATACCGCTGATGGGTTTTTTGGTCATAAGACATCCTATGTGCTCATACAAACTCTAATGCTTGGATCTAGGTTTCTTTATTGTACATGATTTGAATCCAAGACCATAAACCCTAATATTAGTATATGAAATCGATATTAACATATGAATGGGTTGAAGAACATACCTTGATTTTTATATAGCAATAACAATCCTAATTCCACCTTGAATTGACTTTGGAATGCTTAGAGTCACAAGTGTCACTCCTCTAATGGCTTACAAACACCAAGAGCAAATGGAGAAGGTATAAAGAGAGAGGGGAGAGGTTAGAATTCATCCTTAGGACTTCTTGGGAACAAGTACACGAATTCTAAGGCCTTAGGGTCTTTATATAGGTGTAGAGATAGGGTTTCAGTCATTATCCTTATCTAGTTGCTTATCCACAAAGCAACCATAAGATAAGCCTTGAAAACCCTTATCCTTTATCCTTTGGACGATTTCAAGGATCCTTATCTCCTTGAATTCGTTCAACCCATATTTAGGATAACCATTACCATATTTTGTAACTATCACATAATTATAATTCAGCCCCTCTAGTTTAATTAATTACACTTGATCACAAAATTAATTCCTAATTAGTTATTGACCAATATTAATTAAGAAAATATGATTTCTCCTTTAATATATTATTCTTATAACATATTAATAAATCATAATAACCTCTCTCTCTTTATTTATTTCTCCAATCAAGTTGCTTTGGTGAAGGCAACCCAAAAGGACCATGCACCATCGGGTCAAGTACATACCAAAATAGTTATGGACTTAGACACTAATCCAACATAAGATTGGTGCGGTGCACAAGGCTTGTTTCAGTGTTTAGAACGCCTTCTCTTTTTTCTCTTCCCAGTCAAAAGCCACACCTTTTTGCATCAATGTAGTAAGCAGTTTCGCAATGCTAGAGAAGTTCTGTATGAATCTGCGATAGTAGCCAACGAGGCCTAGAAATTGACGAATTTATGTAGGTGTCTTCGGTGCTGACTAGTTCTCAATGGCCTTGATTTTGGAAGGTCCACGTGAATTCCCTTTTCACTAACAACATGCCCCAAGAATTCGACTCTTCGAATCCAAAACTCGCACTTAGAGAACTTCGCAAAGAGCTTCTCTGATCGTAATGTTTATAAGACTCTTCGTAGGTGTTAACCATGCTCCTCCTTACTTCGAGAGTAGATAAATATGTCATCAATGAAGACAATGACAAACTGATCCAAGTAGGGATGACACACCCTATTCATTAGATCCTTGAATACAGCTGGTGCATTAGTTAATCCGAACGGTATCACTACAAACTCGTAGTGTCCATAGCGAGTTCAGAAGGTTGTCTTAGGGACATCCTCCTCTAACACTTGTAACTGGAGATATTCGGATCTTAGTTCTATCTTTGAGAAGTAGCTCACTCCTTGAAGTTGATCAAATAAGTCGTCAATTCGAGGTAAAGGATAACGATTCTTGACGGTAAGTTTGTTCAGTTCTCTGTAGTCGATGCACATACGAAACGATCCGTCTTTCTTCTTTACGAACAAGACTGGTGCTCCCCATGGTGAGAAGCTTGGTCTAATGAATCCCTTTATGAGAAGTTCGTTAAGCTGACTGGAAAGTTTATGCATCTCTGCTGGAGCTAGACGATAAGGCGATTTGGCTACTGGGGTAGCCCCTGGAACTAAGTCGATTCGGAACTTGACTTGATGTTGTGGTGGTACTACTGGTAATTCTTCAGGAAAGATGTCGGGAAAGTCGCGTGCTTCTGAAATGTTCTGAATGTCTTTCACTTCTTGACTCGTATCGACGATGTGTGCAAGGAATGCATGATATTCCTTTCGTAAGAACTTCTGAGCTTGAATACATGAAATGATGCAAAGGTTCGTACTTGATTTGTTGTCGTAGATAACTAGAGTTTCGTTGTTAAGGAGGTTAAGACGAACTACTTTCTCAAAGCACATGATGTCGGCGCGAAGAATACTCAACCAATCCATGTCGATTATGATGTCGAAAATTTTAATTGAGATCGGCATGAGGTCGATTTGGAAAGAATGACCATCTAGAGTTAAAGTACAACCTATGTGTATGCAGTTAGTGCTTTCTGTTTTCACGTTTGCCATTTCTATAGTGAATGATTCCTCTAGTGCACCTGGTTTTTGTTTGAGTAAGGGAGCGAATTTCTGGTTCACGAAACTCCTCTCCGCTCCACTATCAAATAGTATGCAACCATATGAGTTATCGAGGAGAAACATACCGGTAACAACCGTAGGATCAACTATGGCTTCCTTGTGGCCTATTGCCAGAATTCTTCCCACTCCGCCAACATTTCCTGCCTTCGGGCAGTCTCTCTTGAAGTGACTACGCTACTCATAGAGTCGTTATGTTGTCGGATTATGCATTTCTCTATGTATTGTATGCCTTTTAAAAGGCAAAAATTTCATGCTTTGTACTACGAATATTATATCTTTAATGAAATAGTTTTATGTTTTATTTATGATGCTGTTATTTGCTATGTGTTTTTATTTTCCTTGTTTCATGATATTGTATGAATTCACTTATATGCACAACCGAAGCAACGAAGCCACTATATGCCAAAGGAACTCGAAACCACAAATTACTATGTACTCACCATATTTCTGTTATATGACAGAAGATGCTTGCTCTTTTTTGGTGTTATAGGTTTGTTTGGCAATTAATTTATCATTCGGACCTAATCTGTGAAATGGTTCAAGTTAAAGAATAGGTTCTAGACAATCAGGAATAGAAGGAATACAATACATGGATTAAAAGCAGTTTTTCGTTGCATGTACTCATCATCCGACCACCCTTCATCAAAAACACGTGGGATGCATGTTATTTTCATGCAAAACTAAAAAATTAAATTTAAGTATATAAAATTGTTGTAATTTTTAACTATACCACTGAAACATCTAATATACATAAACATTGCTCGAGAGACAATTGTGTTTTTATTCTCCATGCCCTCATTCTTGGAATTTCATTTTCTGTGCGATACGCAAACCTCAAAGCTTCAGGAAATGTCTCCAAAATCCATACCTAATATTACAACAAAAAATTATGCTTTGTCCAAACTTATAAGCACTTAAAAAATATAAGTATTTGCACCTAAAACTAACCTTAAACGGAAGCTAAAAACCTAAAACCGTATACTTCATCTTCTTCATGTAACCCTCATCCTTATTATCTCGTAAATATCTATAAATTTTACCAAACCATAATCGTAATTGTGTTTCACTATACTTCCACAAATACGTACCCCACACAAACATGTCATACTCATTATAATTAATATAAATCATAAAGTATTTATAAATAAATAATAAATAATAAATTTAGTACTTGTTCCAACTATATTGACTATTGGCTAGCTCATACACTGCTGACGGAATGCACGTATTGTCGTCTTGTCCTATGAGACCCTCAACAAAAATATCATTTTCATAACCATTACTGCATCCTCATCGCAACACGTCAAGAATGCTGGCCCTTTTATGTAGTCTTCTAAATCTTTAAGTCGTAAATCTTTATCTCTCACATTAGGGAACAACCGATTCCTTAATGTTGAACGTGTGCTGACTTCTGTATTTATTATATCAATATACAATCCAAATCTCAAACCGCTAATCAAACAAAATTTTGTTTCACCGTATTCAACCACCCTGCCTTGTAACTCGAACCGAAACCTCCCAGCCCTGTCTACCTCTACATCACGAACCTCATGCAACATCATCAAATAACAGAGCAACATGTCACCATTCGGGGTCGGCATACCAATGAAGATCCCAAAAGTTGTCTCTCGAAATAATTCAACTCGCCTACTATTTAGTTTTGTAATGTACTTTTTCAACACACTCCTCAACGCCCCTCTAAAAGTACATTCTGCAGGCCATCCACGCAACCTATGCTGCAAAAGATTAAACATTTATGCTGAAAATTAAAAAAATAATACCGAAAAGTAACTTTAATAGCATTGTACTTTTATTTTTATAACATTGTATTTATATATTGTTTTTTAACAATTTTATGCAAAAAAATAACATTTTTATTTTATAACTTTTTTACAATAGTCTACATGAATAATTATCTTTCAAAATAAAATTTCTCTTTTTTTATAACAAATTTATAGAATTTTATAGAAATGGTCCCATATATATTATAATATTTACATAAATGGTCCATTTTAATAATAATTATAGAAATTTTCAATGTTTTTTTAATTACATAAATAATTGGAATTAGATTTTAATATACATATAATCAACATAAAATGATCTAAATATCCAATGGTCCATTTTAAGAGATAATAATTGTAGAAAATCGAAAAAAAAAAGGATTTGCAGAGTCGTATGTCATTCCGCAGAGGGCTCCTTTGCGGATGTGTTATTGAGCAGAGTACCTTTGCGGATCTGTTCATGACGAAAAGTAAGGCTCCTCTGCATAAATCGATATCTTATTTCCAATTCTTACACCCTAACAAACATACATGTTTATATATAACATTTAACCTATCAATTTCAAATTCATATAATCGATTTCTACAAAGATTACTTGAGTTCTTATACAAAAATTAGGAAACAAATTTTACTTGAGTTCCATATCCATCGGCTAACACATCGGAGTGCAGTTGCTCCACAAATCGAACTCGCCTTGACATTTGTGTGTCTGTTCCGATCATAGTCCGACGTTCGCAACAACTCCCTTCCACTAATCGACTAGGCTACCTTCCTTTCGCGGTCGAGTAATGAGGAATGGTTTTTTCGACGATTTTACGGATCCGCAGAGGTGTTTATGGTTCCGCAAATGCGTTTATGGTTCAACAGAACCCCCTCTGTGGAACATTTGGTCATTTTCCGAAACCCTCATTTACGTGATCATTTTCTTCAAAACCATCCTCTTTTTGGGTTATTTACTGAAAATTCTCATACATAAATATGCTTCTCATGACAAGTGAAAGAATATATAATATTATATTAATATAGTCATCGACTTTGAAACTCCTAACCAAATCGAATTGGTATTCGAATCTTGAAAGGGTTCTGCTATTAAGATATTATTTATATACCCTATAGATATATTTATCAAAAGTCAACCAATATGTAACTATTTTTAATATATTTTCAAAAAACAATGTAATTTTATGTAATAAAAATACCTTAAAAATTATATAGGATATCTAAATAGTAAAATGGGATATCCATTTAACTTGAAAATCTTAAAGTAAAAAACTAACCGTAGAAAATAATTGTATTAACGTATTGCAATTTGATTTGGTCTTATCACTATTTAGTTTATTAAATTTGCCCATCCCTGAGCACATCCCAAGATTGTGGATAATGACAAGAAAAACATGAAGTATGGGGCCATTTCTATGTACATGTTTTTGCACTATGTTTGTCTTCAATTTATAGTTGTTTCTCAGTTTCTTTCTCATTTTATATCCTTTCCAAAATAAAACATAAAAAAAATCTTACAAGTTTAATGTACTTTAGTTAAAAAAACACTTTTCGTCAATCCTTTACCGATTGTCTAGTTACTTACTCTAAAGGACATACCCACAAAATGCAAATATATATATATATATATATATATATATATATATATATATATATATATATATATATATATATATATATATATATATAGGATTCAATTGAGAAAAAAAAAATGTTGAGAATGAAAGAATCATTCTTAATCAATCATTTATTTTTACCGCAAAAACGTCAAACGTATCGGCGGAAATGGGAAAGGAATGCACATGTGTTTTCCAATAAAACATATTTTCTTAAACTATGCTAATCATTACCTTAATATATAAAAAACATAGTTTTTTTCGTTTTTTTTATTATTTTTAGAAGCTATTTTTATCAAAAAATGATTTTAAATATATCAAAATTCATTATTTTTTATTCTCTACAAATAGACATCTATATTGATATAATTTTAAGATAAAATAATTTTTTTAAATATTTTCAGCTATCGTTATTAATAAGTGAATAAATATGCATCAGGTTTTATTACAGTACATTTGTTATTCACTTATGAATAAAAAGTATGATTTTTTTTAACTATTTAAGTATCATTCATATATGAATATAGCATATAATAAACATAATATATTCATATTTTAATATTGAACGATGTATTTACTTGTGAATATATATTAGACAATATATTCACTTATGAGTATTAAATAATATTTCATATGTGAATATTACACAATATTCCATGGTATATCAAATGTGAATATTACATACTATATTCACTTGTGAATATTAGATGATATATTCACTTATGAATATTACACAGTATATTCACATATGAATATTACAAGATATGTTCACTTGTGAATATATTCACTTATGAATATTTAAAGGTATTTTGACAAATATATATAATTTTTATACGTTATTCACATATGAATAACATACAAACTTGCATATTTGTTTTGTGTTTTTAATAATCATATAGTGATTCAGGTGAGAAAACATATTCATATGTGAATATAACGTGATAATTTAGTTTATGCATTTCATCAAACAGTTGGAGTACATACAAGTTAACTATTTTAAAATGTTAAAAACATCAAGTTATCAATTTCAAATCATCATATACTTCCGATTTCGACTTCAAATGTGACATCCTATGTCTGATCGACTTCTCATTTTGATTTTGATTCCCGAAAATCCAATTTGGAACCTGTGAGTACCAATTCTGAGTCCTTCAATGTCGACTGTGACTACGAGTCCAGAACTCTGATTCCAATTTCATGAACAACGAAGAAATTCCGGATTTGTTGAAGAAATCTGGATGATTATTGAAGGTTGGAGGAAACTTTTTGATGATGAACGAACTGTTATTGATACGTATTTGAGATTGAAGGTTATTAACATATTTACAAGTTTGTCACCGTGTCTTTTTATGCTTAGATTAAATGAGTGGCTGAGAATGATTTCCCCATTCTCAACCTTTTTTATTTTCTCAATTGAACCCACATATATATATATATATATATATATATATATGTGTGTGTGTGTGTGTGTGTGTGTGTGTATATATATATATTCAGTATATTCTATATTTTATCATAGAACAACGTACTTATATTTTCTAAACTATTGTTATCTATCTTGAATTAATTTTACTTATATTATTAAAATACTTAAACATTTTTACACATACGTAATATTTATTAAATCTTAATCATCATATCTTATTGCATTCGATATGCTTTGCAAAAGAAAACAGGAATGGAAAATAAAATCACATCGTATGCTCCCCATCTTGATCTTCCTCCTTCACCTTTCTATTTCATATGTATTTTCCTTCATAATCGGCAAAAAGTCTCCAATGTTGTTGTTATTGAGTCCATCATATCTTCACAAGATATCACAAATTAATTTGATTATTCAATGAATATAATGTTGTAAATTACCCTCTCAAGGATGATATATTTCCCAGATTAGGTCATGTACTATGTGGCTATATAAGCTCCTTGTTGTACCCTTTGTAATTGCAATAGAAATTATTTTCAATCATCACTCGTTCTATGGTATTAGAGCTTTATTAGGATCTAACTAACACTCAATCATCTTCCCTCTTCAACTCTTGATTGCATTCTCAATGGATCCTACAGTTGTTCAGATCACAACCTCTACCCACTTTCCAATCCAACTCACACTAAACAATTTCCCCGGTTGGAGAAAACAAATATAATCCACCCTAATTGGTCTCGAATTAGATCAATTCCTCACTAAGAACCTGCCAAAGAAGTTAATTATTGATAAAGAAGGGTCAACATCAAACCTAGAATAACCCTCTTGGTACAGGCAAGATCAAGTCATTATAAGTGCTATTCTTGGAAGCCTATCTGATTTGATTCAACCACTCATCTATTCTACTGTCACTACCCATGATGTCTGGAATTGATTGAATTCAAGTTTTGCAAGTGAATCAAGATCCCATTTTATCTTTCTAAAATCAAAATTGGTTAAGAACCCTAAAGGTAATCGCACCATTATTGAATACCTTCAAGACATGCTCTCTATCGCAGATGACCTTGCATGTGCTTTCTCAACCGGGTGATGAGTACAACTCAATTGTTGTTGCCATCAAAATCCGTGAAACCCCTCTCTTCTAATTAGATCTCTTTGACAAACTCCTAGATTTCGAGAGAACCCTCAAAGAAGTATCACCGCCCTTGGACTCGTTACCGACCATTATCAGTTACACCGCTCATCGACAGAATCGGCCATCTCATCGTCCTAGTTCTGATGGGTCTAATTTGTTTAATTCAATCTCTCGGCCTTCTTGTTTTTTTCACAACAACAACCCTTCTTGCAGAGACACTCGCAATCAATCAGGAGGCACTCGTTCCAATCATACAAATGGATTTTGTCAATATGACACTATTCCGGGACACAATACTATAGATTGTAGGAAACTCTCTCAGTTCTTATGTGACAACATCTCCATAACCAACACTCCACCAACTACTCCAGTTGACAATTCTACAACAACGAACAACTCTCCACAATGGTTATTTGACATTGGTGCATCTAACCATGTTACCTCCAATAGTGCCAACCTCCATCATGTTTCCAACTATGGTGGCCCAGATGAGATACTCCTTAGTGATGGTAAATGCTTACTAGTTTCCCATATTGGTTCCATACACTTATGCACATCATCAAAAAAATTAGTTTTGAAAAATGTCTTATGTGTTCCGAAGTTGAAACAAAACCTTATATCTATTGCAAAACTATATCGTACTAATAATGTATATGTGGAATTCTTTCCACACCATTTTTTATGAAGGATCTACGTACGGGGGCGCGTATAATGTGGGAGGAGAACATTGATGATCTCTATCATGTCAGCTTACCATCTAGAACTCCTATTAATCACCTCACCATATTTTCTCCATTACAATGGCACCATAAACTAGGACATCCATCCAATAAAGTCTTCAAAAACATTGTCAAATTGTTAGGTTTCAGTTCTCGATTTACCTTTGATTCTACTATCCATTGTGCGCCTTGCTCAATTAATAAAAGTCATAAATGATCGTTTGGACAAATTCTTTTATTACTACTAAACCTTTGCAACTTGTGTATTCTGATGTATGAGGTCTCGTTTCTAAATCAGTTAACCAGTTCAAATACTATGTCATTTTTGTTGACTTTCACACAAAATATGTATGGCTTTACCTCATCAAATATAAATTTATGTTGCAAAAAATTTCCCTCAATTCAAAACACTTGTGGAAAAATTCCTTCAAACTCAACTCATTTCCCTATTCACTGACAATGGAGGTGATTACCAAGGCTTAAGCTCATACCTTAAAACTTATGGCATCTGTCAAAACTAGCATTTTGGCTAGGAATTTTGCCTACCTATACTCAACTATCGTATAACTTGTAATCTAAAATGATGTCATGTTTATGCTCATTTAAAAATCAACTATTTGAATCAAAACTCACTCGTGAAATTCAAAACCTAATTTAATTCATATCATATACTCAACCGTGAATTTGAAACCCTAATTTCCCAATTTAAACCCCAATTGGGCTAAAAATCAATTATTTGGCCTAATGGGCCAATAAACTCACAACTTTGTTATTTTGGGCTAAGAATCCTTATACGGGCCCTAATTGGACCCACATTCATGAAACTATA